TATTAAAGGGTACTTCCACAGGAACAGGGACAGTGGGACTTTGCAAAAATAACAGAATATTACTTAGATATAAATACATCCATTTGTCAAAAATCACGAAAACAATGTTTTCCCCCCATTCAGATATAAACTCTTATAGAAAGCAATATATGTGTGGTATATGTTAACACATATAATCTGAGCATATACTATATATTCAATTGAGATGTACCTATTAATTATAGGAGATAAAAACAGTTTATATGTGTGGTATATATGAACTCATATAATCTGAACATATAAAGGAAGCAATAAAAATCTTGTGGATATAACCACAAATATATTATTTTAGTAGCACATATATAGTAAAAAAAAAAAGACAACATGTAGTCTGAGCATATATAATATATATGAACACATTACTATATAGTATATGAACACATGCACTATATAGTATGTGAACACATATACTATATAGCCAAACCTAGAAAGCAAAATGTGTGTGGTATATATGAACACATATAATCTAAGCATATACTATATATTCATCTTAGATGTACCTATTAATTATAGAAGATCTAATCAGTTTATATGTGTGCTCTATATAAAACACATATAATCTGACCATATAAAAGAGGCAATAAAATACTTGTGTATATAACCACAAATATAGTATATTAGCAGCATATATATAGTAAAAAAAAAAAGAAAAAAAAGAGAATAATGACTTACTAGGAAATTTTCTTTAAACAAAGCAAATTCCTCAAAAACCCGTCTCCAGAAGTCATTGAATGCTTCCTTCAGGGTCTGGACTTTACCAGTTAGTGTGTCCAGGCGGGTTATAACATAATCTTCATTGGTATGTTGCGGTGCGGAACTTGATGGAGTATTTTTTCGGGTGAACTCATTTCTTTTTCTGAAGAATGAGTCCAACAAAAGATTTTGTTTTTCGGCCTCGGTAGGAACTATGTTATTGAACTGTAGAAAGGAAAAAGAAAAAAATTCCAGCAGATATATGATAAAAAAAAAAGTAAAAAATTATTATTTACCTTAGTGTGATCAAGGTTAGAAAAGGTTCTCTGAACAAAACTACGCGTACAAGGTTCACGAACTTCCCACTTGATAATCCTCGGGATATCGTGTACACCCACGTTGGTTGCGACTACACCATCAACCGTGTCACAAACCTCGTAAAAGCATGTCTGAAGAGCCAATATAAGACCATATAACCGATACAGGTTGCTTCCCTCGTCGTTATCAGATATGTGCATCTGCTCTCTAGTTTGAATTGATTTCTTCAGGTACTGTAGGGTAAATTGAAAGACAGCGGTTCCCCACGAGTAATCATCACACTATGGACTGTCAATCATGTCAACGAAACAGCGGTCTATGCGAAGGGCATCTTGAGACCCCATGACGAAATTTGCTAAGAAATGCAACTTAGCAAATTTCACAGCATCTTCATCGCTCGCCCACAATTTTTTCATAAACTGCCACCTGATGTGGCTCCAAGTTAATTCAAGACCAGCAAAATACTTGTCGTGCAGACCATTGGCAATCTTTGGAATGTTCAGTTTCTTACTAAGTCCAGTGCACTTTAAACCAGACACGACAGCAAATTCCTCTATACCAAATCGGAGGAATTTCCCTCCGAAGTCGAACCAGATCTCATCTGTCCTACCTTGATGAACCTCGCGTAAAAGTATGTAGTTTACCAGCTGGTTATGGACAATGCAATGTGGCAGATCAAAGGAACTTCCCAAAAGCTGACATTCTAAAAGCTTCTAATTGCTCCTTCGTCAGCGTTTTCTTGATGTCACTTATCGTGCATTTCTCTTTGCTGTTGTCGTTACTGTTTTGCACCTTCACATTTATATCCCTTGGATGAGGGATCAACAATTCCCACTCCTGAAAATAATCAAAACAAATAAATATAGATTTTTTATACACGATAATGTAGAATACTAACATATACTAATCATATTGTTCACAGATTGTTCCACAGATTAGTAGAATATACTTGTTCCCAACTTATTACTAGCATATAATTGTTCACAGAATCTAATGATGTTTTACACTTGAGTGAGTATATATATTGTATATGTCTGTGATAAATATACAGCATACTTGTCAAAAACAAATCCATATACTTGACATATAATAAGCCAAACCTATTCTGCTTATGAGTTTTACATGTCCTGTTAAATTATCAAGATTCATTCTTGGAGCAGAGAATGAAATTTAATATGGAAAAAATGGGAACACATACATATACCAAATATATACTCTGTTTTGAAAATTCTCATACATTCATCATCTGCTTAACAGTTTTGCAGAATGATTAATAAACTAATCACAGATATACACTCCATAGATTATATGTTTGTTATATGTCTGATGTACATATATCACATAATTGTCAAAACTAATATCATATAATTGACTTATAAAAAAGGAACATCAATAGAATTACAACATTATAACTGGAAGATTGAAAGGATCAGCACACTAAAGAAAAGAAAAAAGCACACACTACAGTCATTTTCATCTAACAGTGTGACAAAAACATGACAAAATTATAACAAAAAA